GGGAGATTTTTGGTGTTAATTGAAGAGGACATCGTGGGCTTTCCAACGGTATCCTAAATCGGCGAGTTTGGTGGTCGGAAGTTGCCGAAAAAGTGTCTCAAATTTGACCAAAAAATCTGAAAATTCAGTTACCGTTTTGAAAGAAATTTCAAACTTCAGTGACTGTTCCTGAAACTTTGAAATTTCAGTGACCGTTTTGAAATTTTCAGATAATTTCAGTGACCATTTGTGAAATTAACCTGATTTGTAAATGGTGGTATTTCTTCCTCAAATCTATTTGGGCTTTCTTTGGGTATTGGTTATGGTGCTGTCGGTGAGGTGGTGGTGCGACAATTGTGGTGAGTTTTGGCAATGATGGTACTAGTAGTGGTAGTATGGCGCTAGTGAAGGTGACGACGGCAGAGCAGATAGTGATGGTGCTAGCAGTAGTGGTTCAGGTGGTGCTAACGGTGGTGGTGAGGTGGTGTGATGGTCCGCTGGTGAATTAGGTTTATATTTTTCAGTGGGATAGTGTGTAGCTGCGCAACAATACATCGCCGCTCCGATGAGGTGCTACGGGATTGTTGATAAGGATGAGGATGAAGGTGGCGTGATAGGTCTATAGAGTGGCTTCCAGCGAAGCGAAGAATATTGGTGGTGGAATGGGTGATCGACGGTGGTTTGTAAAGCGTATGAGATGGTGGTCTATGTCGCTGCGTCATCGTCGCTGTTGAACGACTCTGTTTTGGATCTGATTTTATTATGGTGTTTGGATGGTGGTGGTTGTGATGTTAGCGTTGACAGTCGTGCGATGGTTTGTGGGTGGGATGACGTGGGTTGGGAATGTTTATGACCAATCATTGGTTGATTGTGCAATAAATTGGTAAACTTGTGACTAATAAATAATTATGTGACCAATTTTTTTAGATTATGACCAATAATAATATGTAATCTAAAAATTTGAATCGTGTGATTTATAAATTCTGTGATTTGAAACCAATTGAAAAATTGTGACCTCTAAAAGTTTTGATTTTGTGACCGATAAATAAATTGTGACCTATAATTTTTCTGATTTGCGATCGAGAAAAATAATTTGTGGCCTTTAAAATTTTTGATTGATGATCGAAAAATAATTTGTAACCAATTAATTCGATAATTTGCGATGACATTGTATGAATTTGTGATCTTAATATATTTAATTAAAAATAATAATTTTGTAAATTAATTATTTCATAACTAAAATTTAATAATATCTAAATTTTAAAATTTTAAACCTTATTAATTAGTATTTTAAGTTGCACAAGTTGTCAGGCCCTGACCCGAGCTTGCCTAGTATTTATTGTGAAAAGATCTTACCTTCGGTGGTGCAGATCAAGTGATTAAATTAGTAGGCCCAATTTGTCAATGAACTGGTCCCATTTTTGGCTGTCCGCTTGCCAGCCGTAGTTATGGTGGGTTGCAACCTTGTGGGTCTAACTCACCACGTTGACTTGTGTACAGGTGCTATATAAATTTTTATTTTCAATTTGATAATAATTTCAACTACGGGTTCAGTTAGCTGCCACCGTCATACATAGCGAGACTCGAAATTTATATTAATAGTGTCAAAATGAGCAAGACAACAAACTCATCCAATATGTAAAAAGTTGGATAGAGAGGACAAGAAGCTAGGCCTCATGCATCCGGTTGAAAATATTGAATAGATTCACGTGTTATGGGTTCATGTGCGTTAAGAGTCTGAAATGGGTATGACGCTAGTATGTTGATCAACCCTGTAATCAAAGACGAGCAAACCTATCAACCCGGCTCATATCTGGTCGCGCTGGACCCACTTTACATGAACAATGGTTTTATTATATAATTTTTCTTTTTATTATAAATTCTCAAGAACCATGTAGTGTGTAAACTAGGGGGATGAACAAGGATATCACTCTTGATCTAGCAATAAAACCAAAGATTTTCTTGTCTCAGTGTGGCCACAACCACGATCATGATTAAACCACTTGACCAAATCTCAACCATGCTCTAACCATCATTATCAAATAATTTTAATTATATAACAAAGAAATATGTATCAAATTTTCTGTGCAAATGAACCATTAGTAGATATGCGTCACTAATTAGGTGACAATGAATCCTCTGATTCATTGTGCAATGCATTAAAGTGCATCTCATCTCCTAACTGATGATGCATATCTATTTATAATTATTAACATTATTACTGTTTTTATCAACTTAACAATCACCAAAATATGTACATTTTGAAACACGTACTTGTAAATGTATATAAAACTATAATAATTTAATGAATGTTTAGAAATCAAGGAATAAACTACGACATGTAGACTACTTCCTCTGTACCATAATTCTCAACTGACTTTTTTTTTTGCCACAAATTTTGAATACTTCTAAGAACACAGGCAAACTCTATATAATCAAGTCATAGTTTTGCAACAAGTGACAAACTTCAATTTTTTACCATGTAACCCTGCAAACAAAACAACTAATTATCACTTCCTAATTATAGCTATGAACTCAGATCCATTTCTTTTTTGATTTTTCAACGGTTACAAGTTAGAGAAATCCCTGGCATGTAAAAGAGGTGGGGGTGGGCTTTCACTCACCTCCAACGGTGAAACTTGAAAGAGAAAAAGTATACCTGAGAACATCCTTACACAACCCAGTGAAAACCTTGAGGCCTTAAAGCAAGTCGAAATCCCTAAATTTTGAACAGCAAAGACCCCGAAATTCGTTAGTTGCCACTAGGAATAGCATTCTTATGATCACACTCACTTTAGAGCCAAATCCAACAATACAATCTAGTAGAAACCACTAGCACTTTATACCAATAACTGAGCTATCCATTTACTAATCCAAACATATTTGTAAAACTGATTACAATATTAGAAGCGATGTTACTATATTTAGTTTTCCAATTTTAATGCGTTTTATATGAAATATTATTATTTTTTGATTTAATAGCTTTTATTAGAATTTCTTTCTTAGAATAGAATCTTTGAAACCCTATGTAAAGGGGTCTTTTACATTGTAATAAAACAACCTTTGATATATGATATAAATTAATTTCCTCTCTTCCTCTTCCTCTTCCTCTCTTCCCCATTCCCCTTCTCCTATAATTCTTCTATAGCATCATGCGCCAAAAATTCTTCAACAGAGGTAGCTGTTGGATGTTGTATCTGCATCTAAGCACTCAACTTCTAGTGGCATATCCACGCACCCAATAAGGAGTTGGAGTGTGAGAGTGAAATTTTCTAGAAATTGGTGAATTTTCACGAGTTGCATCTAATTATTGAAATATTATGCGGGTAATGCTGTCAAGATAGGTGATCTACAAACACAAGAACGCATGTATATTATGTATAATGGAAAATAAGCACCCAGAGGCTAGATCCCAAGACATGCTATAGATTTGCAACTATTTCGCCCTAAGTGAGGATCTTTTAATTTTATTCGTGGATGAGATACGTGCCATCAAGATCAGATCCCTTGGCATATGCTATATTAAGACTCGAGGATTCATCTCAAAAGATCAACCTTATTAAGCCCTTGTTTGTCTCCCATTCCTTCGTAAATCATTTTTTTACGTATTTATTTTCAACCACACATTCACACAATAAAATATTCTACACGTAAACCCAAAATTTTTGCAACCACACATTCTCCAATAATTCCCATTCAAAACAATATTTTTCCAAAAAAATGCCTACCAAACAGGGGCTAAGAGGAGTAGCACAAATTATTATATGTTGATTTATGTTTTCATCCTTATTTAGTGTAAGAATTATTTCTTAACATGCCCCGACAAGATGGTGGCTCATTTGAGCAAGTTCATCTTGATCAGTGTTCTCATTTAAGTCATAATCGGCTCGAGTTGCTTGTTGGAGCTTTATGAGTTTTAATACAATATTAAGAGCCTATTTAGCATGACTTTTACTTTTAGTTCATGTAGAAGAGCTTTTGAAGGAAATTAACTTAATTTTTGTTTGAAAACTTATTTATAAAAGAGCATTTTATTCCGAAAGTGCTTTTACAGAAAGTCACATTAAACCAACTTTCTCTAAAATCTCTTCCAACTAGAAGTAGCACTTTCATAAAATTAGTTAAACGAGTTCAGAAGCAGCTTTTGGATCTCAAAAGTTTCTTTTGACTTTTCAAAAGCCATGCCAAACGGGACTTAAGCCTTGAGATTTCATATCAAATGTTGGTTTATATTTTCATCTTTATTCGATGCGAGATTTATCCCTTAACAAGCTATTCACTACTAACATAGTATTAGTTGATGAGATAATGAATGAGAGAAAACTTATGTTAGGACTTGGAAGGAATTCTTTGGAATCTAAAGGTTTTAAGATAAGTAGAACTAAGTGAAATGTCACATGATACTAGAGTACCACCAATAAATTAGTGCACTCTTAAACCGTGCGACCATGGCGGGCTCCAAGACACACAACTATATATCTTTGTAACTCGTGCAAGAACCCTAGACCAGTGAGAAATAACGAGAATACTATATCAATCAAACTGTAGATTTCAAGGCTAAGTTATTAGTACTCATAGAACGCAAAAAATAATCAATCAACGGATAGGAGGGCATTCTACATAAATTAAAAAGCCTACAAACGCAAAGGAGTTTGTCCACAACATTAGGGAACTCCCCAAAAGCATTGTCATATGTTCATATCAAACTAACCTACTATAGTACTTACAGAGCTCGGTCAACATTTAATCTACAGCAACAGAAAATACCAAAATCAGATTAACGACTAGCTGACTACCTCACACCCTGGAATTGGATCATCCAAAACGCATCATGTGAAGAAGAGGCCAGAACCATAGAGACAAGTTCAATAGAGTTGGGATAAATTCTTTACTGAGTAACTTAATTCTAACTACAGCAAAGTTAATATCCCCGGATTCCAGTTAATTCACAGAGATTAAAGCAACAAACAGGAATATTATAGGTCAACCAAAGAGGAAAATCAAGAGAATTGGAAACATATAAATAATAAATCCCTTACTAACTCTAACACATCAAACACTGGAAATCACAAACTATAATTAATTTCAACTCATGCAAAGCTAACATTCCCAAATTCAAGTTAATTAACATCATTTCACACTTTCAAACAGCCCAAAAACAAACAAGGGGAACCATAGAGACAAAATTCAATAGAGTTGGACATAAGTAAACCCCTCACTAATTCCAAATCACTCAATTATATCAAACACATTAATTCATAAAATATATGTAATCTTGAACTGCGTAAAGTTAACATCCCAAAAACTCCAGTAAATTAACAGTAGAGGTTTCACTCCACGTTCAGCAAGTCAATATCATTTATTTCCTCAATAAAACCAACTACACATGATTGACGATTCCAACACAGAACCAGTCGAAAAGCAGAAAATTAAAACCATACCCCAGGCAATGGCAAACACTTTCTAATCAGATTCAGTGTGTTGAGTATGGGCCGACTCGAGTTCAAGCCTTTCTAGTGCTTTCTGGTGGGCCCATGTCTCGATGGTGAGATCGGGCTTGGCGTTGAGTCCTACTCCAAGGATAACGATTGTGAGGAAGCTGGTGACATAGCAGGGCAACTCCCAGTCCTCCCACTTTCGAGATTGTCCCGGCGGCAGCGGCGTTCGGTTGAATAGGTAACCCTTGGGGCGTTCCTCGTGACCCGGACTTGCCCACCGGCTGGGCCCATGCCCTCCGCCTCCTCGGGTCCGGAGGGACGGTGATAGTCGGGTCCGGAGCGTGCCGGCAATGGTCGCAAAGGGCTTTATCGACGGCATAGTTTTTTCAAGAGAGTGATAGACTCTTGAATCTCTTTTGGATCTAAATTCCAGACCAGAAGGGTTAATAGTGTTATCACCCAACTTATACATTGTTTCATTTTGGTGTCAAACGTTTTTGTTTTTCAAAATTAGTCCTTGAACGTTCATATTTATTTCAATTTAAGCAATTATGACTTTTGTGTGCGTGTGTGTTTTTTTTTTTCTAATATTTTAGTTTTAGGGTTTAGCTCTACATTATTTTGGGCTCTAAATCTCTAATCACGTAATTGTACTTGAAAGTAATGCGTCGAAAAATAAGAATTACACTTCGACAAGCAAAACTTCAATATGTCTACGTGACGTAATGATAGCATCTTGTATTAATCGTTCCCCTCAAGAAAGTTCAAGATCCTGCACTCGATTCATGATATGCATCCTTAATCATTAACTCTTAACACTAAACGAATCTAATAATCCATTGAAACAGCGTCTGTCCTTGAAATGACAATAAATTCACTATTAAAAATGTAAACAGTTAAAGTTTACCAATAGTCTCCACACGAACAATTACCATTTACAATATGATGAAATCTGCTTTTATCCCTTAGTAAAATTTCCCTGCTATAAATCCAGGATACATATTTGACAAAGTTATGGCAATCAACACATACACGCAGGTTTTTCATCACTCGAATAGGTTTCCCTTCAGAAACACCAATCATCCCAAAAGCCAAAGCGAGTTTTTCACTGTGGCCGAGCAATATCTTCTCTTTTTGCTCTTCATCCACATCATACAAAACACAACTCAAATCAGGAGCATAACCAGCTTCCTTTATCCGGTTTGATAAATCTCTTACCTTTGCAAATACCTCTTCCTTCATTGGATGTGAACGTTCACTTGCATAAAAGGTATGCAGGGTTCGTCCAAGCTCAATCCAGCTCTTTCCTGGCTCCTTTGTCATGGATTTTTCTGTCATCAATTCCCTTAATCTTCTTACATCATCCCATCTTCCTGCAGAACCGTATAAATTGGAAAGAACTACATAATTACCGGCATTTTCAGGCTCTAATTCCAGAAGCTGATCACCAGCAATTCTTCCAATGTCAATATTCCGGTGAACCCGACAAGCACCTAAAAGGGAACCCCAAATAGCAGCATTCGGTTTGATAGTCATCTGTTGGATGAACTGAAAAGCCGTTCTTACTTGGCCAGCACGTCCAAGTAAATCAACAACACAGCCGTAGTGCTCAATACCAAGGTCAACCCCATCTTTACCAGTCAACATCTCGTTAAAAATTTCCAGCCCTCTATTTTCCATCCTTCCATGGCCGCAACCAGACAATACGGCCAAAAGAGTGGTGCTGTTAGGACTGATGTTACTTTCTTCCCTCATCATTTCGTACAAGTCAATTGCATCTTTTCCCATACCGTGTTTACTATACCCCACTATCATTGCATTCCAAGATATGACAGTTCTTTCAGGCATTTTGTCAAAGATTCTTCTCGCATAGATTAAGTTTCCACATTTTGCATACATATCAATTAAAGAATTCTGAAGTACGACATAGAGGGGAAGCTCAGATCGAAGAACATGGTTGTGAACTTGCCGTCCGTGTTCAAATGCAGCAAGCCCAGATAATGCAGTTAATATACTGGCATAAGTAACATAGTTAGAAGTCATTCCTTCCCTTTGCAACCTACGGAACACCTCGACTGCCTCTTCGTCAAGTCCTAACTGAGCATAGCCTGATATTATAGCTGTGCAAGAAACAACATCTCTTTCAGGTAAACCTTCAAATATATATCGGGCCTCGTGGATTCTTCCAGCTTTGGCATACATGTCAAGGAGTGAGCTACCAACATATATATGGGAAACAAATGGGCTTTTAACTAGAAGCGAATGAATTTGCCTTCCATTTTGGAGCCCGAATAAACCAGTACAAGAGGTCAGCACTGTTGCAAAAGTGAACTCATTGGGATCGGTACCTGGAACAATTCCATGTTACAATCACAACATAAGAAATAGTGAAACCTTCTGTGAACAGTAGAAATAGTATTTACATATGGTGCATAACAGACACCGCCATGGCCAATCACCTTGTGATGTATAAATCTTCAATCAAGTATTTACCAAATCAACCTACTTGTGTCAAATTCACATGCCCCCTATAAATCCACGTGAATAAATCTTTAAAAAAAAAAAAAGACACGCGATGTTCAAACAAATAAAGCAATATTAGAATATGTAAAAAAATTCTATGAGAATCTGTAGGTGAAGATACTATTTCAAGGGGATGCTTAAGCGAGTGAGAGGTCTTCATCATTGCATCAAATGTGAAGCAAATGATTATAAAAATGATGAGCGTCAATCTATAAACCAATATGAGATGAATTAACCAACTGAATTGGGGATTGGCATGTTACAGCAACTAACAAGGGTTCCTCGCTAAATCTGAGAACTTCAGAAAGTGACTGATGTTTTCTCCACTAATATTACATAGAAGGTAAACAAGTCATGAAGAACAAATGAAAAGGAAAAGAAAATGAACCATTTCCTTGAATGATATAAAGTTACCTCAACCCATCCTTCAACTTTAAGCTCAGGAGATTGAAAGGACAAAGGAAAACTGAACTATCACTATCCAGTTATGAGTTGAAAAATACTCATGTCTCTTATGTAGTCAATCTAGTTATCCTTTTATATAATTTGGCACATTTGATAAGAGATTACTTTTATATTTTAAATCATTCCTCACAACAAGTAATTTAAGTCCTGACTTATAATTCAACGGGCACATCCAATACCCGGGTTCCACCCAATTAATCAGTGGATAGACACTCTGAATATTAGCTGGCGATGCCTTGAATTACAGAGCTCCAGCTAACAAAATAAATCATTAATCTAAAAGTGCAGCATCTTCATAGCATATTCATATCAAATAACTTGGATATTGAAAAATACATGCCAACACTAAGAAATAACTACCTGATCTCAGCATCTGAACAAAATGATTGAGAGCTTCAGAGTGACACCCACTTCTCCTGTTCTTGGTTTAGGTCACCGTTGGGATTTAGAATATTTAAGCAAGAGGAATTTGGCGGGACTGAACAAAAGGTTAGATGACGGTGAGCTGAGGGATTGTTTGGGATGCATAAAAGTAGAACATGTTTACGGTGAACGCAAGAGAGAGAGATTTTCCTTAGCATTTTTCTAGTTTCATTTGGTTATGTCTAATGTGATTTTCTTGGCAAATACTACTATGTTAAGGCCTCAATCAATCAAGTCACGTATATGACAATGATGCTTAAGTGGATAGTCCAGAAAAAGATGTAAAAAAACTTACTTATCATAGTTTTCAAATTTGGCTCGTACAATGTACGAAAATATTTTAAGGTTTGGTTTGATTTTAAGGTTGTACGTTTGATAATGGCATTTCAAGAAATTTGGAATTGATGAAAAGGGAAAGATCAATGCTATTTATCTAGAATTTGATCATTAGTTAATGCCACTTAATTCCATCCCGATTTGAAATTAAAAAGTCGCACCATTTTAAGATTCTTGTCACATTCTCGGAAATAAGATATTTATTAAAGCAATTGAAGGCATCCACATACACATTAAAGGTAAAGGAGTCTCCGAATTTATTTGAACTGTTGAAGGATTTTGACGACAAACAGCCTTAATAGTTTGACATATGCTAAAGCATATGAGAGTAGCACTTTTATGACATTATGTAGTGCAATTCATTAACAATAAAGCCATATGAATTCCTGGAAGTCATCAAACTGTGAAACAAGTCCAGGTACAGTTAGTGAGTGTGAAAAGGGAATAATGAAAGACTTAACAACTAATGTCCAAAAACCAGATTTATGTAGTGAATCATGACTTCCTGCTAAGTCACAACATGTCTGAAGCACGGCAAAATAGACGAGGATTGCAGCAATCCCAGTCGAAACTGTCACCCACAAGTTGGTAAAATAGTTGTGGACGAGAATAGCTCTATATCTATGCCAGGGCTCATTACAGTATTCTTCGAGGCTTCTTACAACATCACTCAAGTACGAGTCCTCAACGTCCCGGGAGATTTCTCTGCAAAGCTTGTTGACAGTTCGAGCCACATGTTCGTTGCTACCGAGAGAATGCTGCAGCACGCCCGCGTAGTGTAGAAGTTCTATATCTTTGGCTGAATTGATAAGCCCGTCAAGGAAAAACAAGTACCTGTTGAAGACTGCATTAAGTAAATAAATTGAACGATTTAATATTTTAGATCAGGTGGTTGAACAGTACCTTGTCACGTCTGGTTGACTGGCCTTGTAGCATTGTTCAAAAGCAACCATGTTTCGATATAGAGTGCACCGGTAATCATTGATGCGAAATGGAGGGATTTTCAGAACTCCTGATTCGAATTTTATGTGTAGAGGTTTTCTGTTTTCTGATCTTGTCCTGATTTTAATCCCAGCCTCTTTTAGCTCGACCATTGAACGGAATTGATACGGTTCTTTTTCACGTTTAATCTCTTTTGGCAAAATGCTTGACCGGAAGAGATCAAGAAAGTGTTTTGCATCATTTGCCCTATTGTCTGAATCACTTTGTTGAGGACTTTTAGCAGCTCCAGGCATCAGTGGACTGAAGAATTTAAGAGCAAGTTTCTCCATTGAAGAACATGAAGATGTTGCTCGTATACTATTCGTTAACTCGAATAATTTGCACATAACCGGTAATGGAAGCTGATTTTCAAGCATAATAAGATCATTTCGCAAAATTGGCAGCATCCATCTCTTCAGAAATCTCTGTCCATGTGCAAATACAGGCTTTTCCAGTGCCGGTTTCGTTTCCAGCTCCAATTTCTCTCTATCAGGCTCGTATTTTCCGTCACACTTATCCGGGGCCGGTTTTCTTTCCAATCCATCAAGCTCATATTTTCCTTCCGACTTTTCCAGGGCCAGTTTCTCTCCATCAGGCTCATATTTTCCTTCCGAGGCCAGTTTCCTTTCCAGCTCGATTTTCTCTCCATCAGGCTCGTATTTTCCTTCCGACTTTTCCAGGTCCCTGAAGAGCTCCACAATGAAGCATCCATCAATGATCATCATCTCAACAAACTTCTTTCTGCTCATCTTCACATCTTCTGAATAGTAACTCCGAGCCTCGGGTTCAAATCCCTTCATGGCCTCAATCACACCTTCTAGTTTCTCTTCACTTCCCTGGCTGCTCGGGCCAAAAATCTGACGAAAGAACTGCCATTTAACCTTTTCCATTGCCTGCAAATGTGATTTTCCGTGATGGTAAGGCCCAATCGAGATAATATTAGGTTCGTAAGCTTTTGCCTCGACTTGACGAAGATTTCCAGGGACCTTAAAGATAGAAACATTTTCACTTTCTTCAGGAATCTCAATTCTTAGCCTCTCACGAAGACTGAGTGTTGAAAAATGAAAAACGCATAATTTTGTGAAATGAAATCTCTTCACATTCTGCAAAGTCATCAGCAGATTGAATTTCTGCATTGTGTATGAGAGAACAAGTTTTTTTCTTTTTTCTTGGATAATGGTATCACCCTCTTGCATTTTATTATTAGTAAACCTACCCTAATTTTGTCTCATTGTGTTAATATTTCTTAGTCCATTTTACCTACCCTAATAATGTGAAGTTTCAAGCTGCATTTATTTGAAAATATTGATGATTTGCATCACGTTTATTATTATATAAAAAATTTATTTATATGTATAGTTATAACGAAATTCGTCGCGTGAAAGTGTTTAAAGTTTTGTTGTTCCATATGATATTATAGTCATCCGATTTAAAAGAATAAACGTTAATATATCTAATAAATTATTTTGTTAACACGTTTTACACTTGTAAACGTCTCTCAATTGACGCTCTTGATTTGTATATGCATGTATATATGTTAGCATGTACGTATTGAATCTCCGAAAAATTAATTACCATTCAAAGTCAGCGAGGAAATTAAGGATCAAATTATTTGTATAACCAAATGTGAGTTTGATTATATACCAACATGGCGAAGACTTGATGCGGAGTCAACTCACAATTTCTTGGTCAACTTAATTTATTTACATGTCACACTACAAGGAAAGATTGCTTCACGAAATTTCTTTACTCCACCACGACTTTTACTAAAAATCATAAATAATCCATCATTGTCTTTCTTTAATTTTTATATACACGACAAATCTCCCGGTAGGTTCCCGTTTCTTCTCTTTTTCTTTTCCTGGTTTCCTTTAATTTTATTTTTTTTATCAATAATATTTTTTTCCCATAAATATTGACTCAAGACTGAATCGCTAGAAATATACGTATTTTATTGAAGAACGTGTGGTTGAAAATGAGTAAAAAAATGAGAACGAAAAAAATAATGTGGCTCAAACAGGGGCTTACAAAGAAATATAAGCCAAAATTTTGTTCATTTCTGCCTACCAAATATGCATTTAACGTTGAGAAACTATTCTCTAATAGCCTTTACGGTATCTTTAAAGCAAGATAATCGTAAAAAGTAAAATAAAAGTCGACCTCCATAATATAGCGAAAAATAAATTTTCTTAGTTATACACTATTGATCAATCGATCAATCATCTCATGCACGATGTAGCCAGATTGAACAGATTAGCATTAAGATATTCATAAGAAACTGAATTTTCTCCTCTCTAGCTTATACAGAAACAGATTCCAGCTGATTTTCTATTGTTTAATTAGAATACAAGGGAATCCAAGCTAAACTTTGAGATCCCCTTTATACTTCCTCATTATATTATACTAAATAATATATACAGAAGTTAGGTACCTATTCGTAAAGCTCGTGCCTCCATTTACACCATTTTCAGCTGGCTTGAATGCAGAGAAGCTGTAGCAACCAATGGAACAATTGTAAATTAATTGCATCAAGAAGTTATTTGTGCCTTCTAAATTGGGTTAGTTGTTCAACCTACAATGCTGGTTGGTCACCCAACTAATGGCGTTGTTTTCCTTTGCTCAAGTCTTTTTTGTTTTAACTTCGACTTTTTCCCAGTTTAGGTACTTTGTCGAACTAAGTAATGGCAAATGCTGACATGCAGCGCTTTGTTTTTGAGCTCTAGCAAAAACAAGTGTTGGTGAACTAGTTGTACTTCTGAAATGTGTTTTCTTAAATAAATAAAAAAGAAAAAGAAAAATCTTAATGAATTTTGTCCTGTTGGACGATAAAAACAATATATACCGGATTTTTCATGAGAGAGTCCTATTTTCTGGTAACCAAGTCAATATTTTAAGTTAATTCAGCATACAAGGGTAGACAAAGTGATTAAAGTGAAGGTTCGTAGACTAACTTGGAATGAGGAAGTTTGCAGTTTGGTGACCAAAGTGAAACGACTCTATAAGTTAGGTAACTAACAGTGTTTTTCTCTCTCTGGAAGATGGCACAAGCCACAGCATACTTTTCTTTTTTTTTTTTTTACTTCAAACGCAAGAATTAAAACAAAAGAATTTTATGCATGGAATATATTGCAGACTATCTTCAGAACTCTCTTGAATTTAATGACTAGAAGAAAAATAGCCAAAAACCACTAATTGGTAGAATAAATAAAGAAAACTGCCAAATTGTAATTTACCTGAATTTGCAGAAGAATCATAACTTATAAGCGAGTTTTCTGGAGTAATGAAGTTAGGATTGTCTTCTTCTCTTCCCAAGACTGGCTGATGAAGCCCATCAAAATGCCACATCTGATTATAATGCTGTCTGTTCCCATTATGTTGTGCATCTGGCCACATTGATGGTGTAAACATGCCAGCAATGCTACCATCAACTGGGGATCCACTCTACAAGACAAGGTTTTTGAAGTTTATAAAGATCTTCTCAACTATCGGAAGGAAAACAAATTAATCGGTATTGTACATAATTTTAGTAGCAACTATAATCGACAGGGGGATATGCTGAATCCTAGGCACTGGACCAACATGTGCACAAGTTCAATAGCATTCCAAGTTTTTTTTAACTGTCATAACCTTGACCAGTAAATTTGGATACCCAGTAAGGAGCTTCTTTTGAAAATTTTGGTACGGAAGCATTCAAAGTGAAGGATTAAGGGTCTCATCAAAATCGATTTTCCACTCCACTGACCACCATACTTTCAACCAATATAAAGACCCAAAAGGACAATTTTAAAAAGAGAAAAAAATGCTAGAAAGTGTTGACAAATTCATGGTGCCAATTAACAACCAAGTGAAGGTGGTGCGAATATAATTATGTTTGTTTGACAAAGTTTCCAATACACAAATGACACATGGGATGCCTTAGTTAATTCTCTTTTTTTTGGAAAAAAAATATAGCAGATATCACAAAGATCACATAATTAGCATTGTTTCAAGAACATATAGAACGGCGTTGGTAGATAAATAATACTTACTTCAGCAGCCAAAAGGGCATCGAGGTTGTAATCAATTCTTGGGTTAACAGCAGCAAGTCTCATGGACAAAAACTGAAATTCAAGAAGATATGAAAATATGCTAACAAATGCAATAAAAGATGAAGGCATATATGCTCGCAGATTTATATATCATTTTTCACAATTGAATAATCAAACAACCAGATAGTAATATTTTTCTTTGAAGCAATATTTTAAAGACTGGATAAATCATCAAGCCTTGTCGTTTTAAGAAGTCTCCAGTTTTAAATCATGAAAGGAGTCCATTTTAATTAAAAAACTATATGTGTTTATCATTAGGCAAAGATGAGTCCAGTCTAACCTCCACTTGTCGTTGAAGTGCTTGCACATGGTTTATTATCTCATCCAGCACCATTGCAGTACCTGAGATCTGTCGATGAAAATAACAATAATTCATACCCCTGTTTGGTGCACATTTTTTCCCCAAGAATTTTTTTTTTTTTATGTGATGGGGAATAGGGGTGGGCGCGGGTCGGTTTGGTTCTGTTCGGTTCCGTACTATAATTAAATTTTTTAACATTTAAAATAATACTACATAAATACACCTGAAAGTAGATACTAATATTAATAACAAAAAGTATATATAAATATCAAGTTCAATCTTAACTTTTACAAATTAACGTAATCCAATTTAATAACATATAAATAATAAGTTGTCAAATACAAATACGAAAAAGTAAATATTACTAATAAAATTTCGATAATTCATATCAATAATCATTTGCTTCAAACATTCAAGTCTACATAAAAATGAAATATAAATTAGAAGTAATAAAGATAAAATATTTTAAAATATCGATAATACTTACCAACTATTTAATGTAATAATCAGTTGCTTGACTTTACATACTAACTACTAAGAGACTATACAAGAAAAAATTGAAAAAAACACAACTAACAAACATAAATAAACTCTAAATTGTTCAACTAATAAGATTTAATAAGAAAAAAATTATTAATTTATTTAGAAAAAAATTCGGTTCTTATTCGGTTTTTCGGTTCTGGGTCTAGAACCGAGAATTGAACCAAACCATTCGATTCTCAATTCGGATACCCGTTCGGGTATTTCATTTAAAAAAACCCGCTTGATTCGGTTCGATTCGGACATTTTGCCCAACCCTAATGGAGAATATATGGTTGAAAAATAAGGAAAAATTATTGATATGATGGAAAATATTATTTTATTGAAGAATGTGTGGTTGAAAATGAGTAGAAGAATGAGAATGAAAAAATAATGTGGCTCCAACAGGAGCTAGTCAGACTGACAAACATCTACAGGAGTTAATCACATGAATGCCAAATTCTTTACACCATCTAAGTCTACTAATTCCTCCACTCTTATGTACTTATTTATTATTATTTATTTTTTAAAAAAGGAAAGTAACAGCTAAAAAAAAGAGCGAAAATAAAATATCTAGAGAGGACCCATAGGCATCCAACTAGCTAACTGCATGTTTTTTTTTTTTCCAAAAAGCTTCAATATGCATCCAATTTCATCTCCTCTTTACTTTCATTAATTACCACATCACACACTTCAGTCAATCGTAATAACTGCCTTTAATGTTTTATCTTAATGAAAGGGCACAATTTTCTCTATTATTAGTTATCTTAATTATTTTACCTATTCTACACCTAAATTTGAAATGAAGGACTGCATTGAACCTACCTCTTAACTACACGCCTGGATCCTACCTATTAACACTGATTAGATTTTAAGAATTAACCAGCATAAGTAAAACCACTGTATTTCTCATTTTCTTCCAAAAGCTAAAAGAAAAGGAGAAAATATCAGCATTTAACCAATGAAAAAATGTCCTCGTCATGATGAACTAAGAGCAAAATGGTAAAACCAATAGTGAGACTAATGAGAGAGACACTGCAACATCGGCTCGCCACTTTTCTTGGTGCAAAAACCATCAGCCTTTCTATCATTTTCCACATTGAAAAGGTGAAAATGACCCAACTACTGTTATTAATTCAAAAGCAAAAGCTTAATCTATCATAAAAGTAAAAAAGGCAAAGCAAAAGCAAAAAAGTATAATCAGGACAGAAAGATTTCCCGTCACGTAATCCAAAATCTAATAACTCTCAATAACAACATTTCATAATCATCATCAAATGACGGAGTTTTAAGACCCCAAATCTCCCTCACGGAAATATGTATATGATAATGATATCAACTATAGTATGAAAAAAGATGGCTAACCTTATTACATCCTGGGACCAGTTCTTGTAAAAGTTTCATTCTTTCATTAATCTTCTCTCTTCTTGCCTATTCATAAAGAGCCAAACTTTGATTAAAAACTAATAGTAGCTTATTGCTAATAATCAAGATTAAGAAAACGATTTGAAGATTCTTACTCTTTCAGCTAAGCTATGGCTATCGGTGGCTTGGCCACGGCGAGCTCTGACATGCACGTATGGCAGCTTCTCACCACCATCTTCAGAGGCCTTATATGGTATAACTTTTTTGCTTTTTCTATTGGATTCTTTAACCTGAATTTGAAAACCAAATTAAAAAAGGAGAAAAAAATGGCTAAAAATTCTTGTAAATATATTAAAAGAGGAAAAGGTATCTGAGTTATGCTACTCTTCAATAAATAGATGCTCTAAATTTTCATCTACATAAAAGGGATTTAGATTGACAAACTCTTATTAAGTGTTTTCAAAAATAGGATTTAAGACAGTCAAATTTATTGGAATGAGTTCCAGAATTACCTTTTTCTCCCTCTCCTTCCTCTTGGTGGAATTCGGATTCTGATCTGAAGCCGCCAGCGAAGAAGAATTTGGGTTTGAATCCGAGCCCGATGGCTCTTGCTTCACTATATCGAACTTCTTCGAGTTGGAATTGAACAAGATTGAGTTATTTGAATTTTCAGCCGAAGCAAACACGGAGAATTTCGAAGCTCTGACAATTAAGCCAATGTCAGAAGGGAAAATCGGTGGTGGCGGATGAAAGTGAGAGGGAACCTCTCCGGAGCCAGTGGTACTGGGTTTCGGACGGGATTCTTCATTTGCGGCGGCGTCAGGGGAGTTGACTAGGAGCTCAACAGCTTGTGGCGCCGGAAGTTCGAGGAGGGCCTTGAATGAGCTGCCGGTCTCTGTTCGCGGCGGGGGCGGTACGGATACGAGGCCGGGGAATTCCTCGAGACCGAAGCCCATTTCACTCTGTTTAAACCCGCCATTTCCGGATCTGAATTGCGCTTGAGTGCCTTCAATATTTGACCCCATTTTCAAAATTCGAGTAATTCACGAAAATGATAAGGGAATAAAAAACCCAGAATGTGATACAATTCTTGAGAGGACTAAAATTAAGTTCCCAGAGAAATTCCACTTGAGATTAACCAAAATGAAACATTTAATGAATGGTAATAAACTGAAACTGAAGAAGTTGGATTCAATTCTCGCGATTTATCAGCAATTTTCCGAAGATAAATTGGATGAAATTTGGAGAATTCACTTCAAATTACCTACAAAAGAATCGCTCAACAGAAGAAAATGACACCAAAGTTTAACAACGATCATTTTCAGACAGTTTTAGCTTAATTAATCAGCCAAATAGTTGAAATAAACTATAAGAGAAGTGGCAGAGACGAGACAAGCCAGATAGTTGAATACAGATTAAGATTTTCCTCTCTGAATGGAGTACTGTGAACTATATGAATGCCTCAATTTCAATGGCGCTCTCTCTCTCTCTCTCTCTCTTCTCAATTAATTTGCCTTCTCAGTTTATGAGAGAGAGAACCAAACCGAAAAGATATGTTGCGTTTGGTCCCCTTCTATCCCTTCGTCTACTGTCGAACTCATAACGTACACTTCTTTTCTATTTAACCCCTGTTTGGCAGTGATTTTAATTTAAGTTAAAATTAATAATTAATTTTAATTACGTATTTTATGATATTCACATTTTTTAAATCACACATTTCATCATTTTTTATCAAAATTTACTAAAAATCTATTTTTAATCTCCGCCAAACAGGAATTTAATTAATTATCGATCCCGTCTTCTCACTGAATAACGGTTTTTTAGTTGAAATTCTACATTTTGTCTATATGGGTCGAAAAGATCGATATGACATGTATGTACATGAAAAGATCAACCTCAACTTGTTAAAGGGTTAAATTTTATTACTTTTTTTTATAGTAATAATAACTACTTTGAAAATAAAATATTAGTACTTCACCTATACGTACAATTGAGGCATTGATGGGTGTAGCCTGTATGGAAACGAACTGTAGGGAAATAAACGTATGGTCTACGGCCTACGGGTGGGGACCTGGTATGACCCAACCCGGCTTTGAATTTGACCCATAAATAACCACCCGTCATTTTCCCTTCATCTATAATTCTAATTTATAGGAGGGATGACCAACGAAATCGTCAAATCAAATCGAAACCCTTTTTTTGAAATAGTTGATTTGGATCCACGTGGATCCGTTAATTTTTTTGAACTAAACCAAACCGCATGGATTTTAAGTTTTACAAATCATTTTAAACCGTCAAACCGCTTTAAAAAAATCAATTTTAGATTTCAATTTTATTCAAATCAATTAAGCCCCTGTTTGGCCCCCATTATATTACATTACATTACATTAATTTTTTCTCTCTCTTCATCTTAACCATACATTTATCAAATAAAATA